GGGGTAGGCGTCAGCTGATCCAGAACGGAGCATTTTATTTTTCTCGCAAATTATGGCTGGCACAGTTTCAGAAGCCGTTTGAAAGACAATGTTCAGCAGACTTTGGGCTCTCTTCAAGTTATCCTCTAAAAACAGATGTCATTGGTCGCTCAACGTCGGATGGCCAAGTTGGATACCACGATTGCTGCCGTCTAGCGCTTTGGTCATCACCCAATCATTACCAATATTAAACTTTAGAGGGATAGAGTGGACTTTGACATACTGTAGAGGACATTCAGAATGCCCATCAGTCTCGGCGAAGTCCCATTGTCTCGCGGTTTTGATATCGAAAATTTGATCTATATAGCCTCGACTGTTCTAAAACCAGCTCTGCTGATAATAGCTTCTGCATCTAAGATTGGGCTCAAGCGCTTGAGACTTTCATGATGTTCTGTTGCAGAATTACCCCTAAAGTTCCGGATGAACACTTTTTCTCGAATTTTTTAACAACACAAATTACTTAATTTTTTATTTACATAATTACTTAATGGGCAGATTTTTTTCAAAATTACGTTCAGTTAATCAAAACAGATATGAGCAGTCTAATGCTGCTCAACGTTAATTGCTGTGACCACTAAAAGGCAAAAGGCAAACTTCGCATTCGGCAAACTCAGTTTTTTTCACACTAAATTAGGTTCCACAAATAATCGTTAGAATAAAATGAGTGGTTTATCCCAAAAAAACATCCAGACTTGCTAATACTTTTTGCAAGTATCTAATTTTAGTAGAAGGTTTTCAAAAATACTAACTTTTTTTGTTGTAACGTTTTTGAAAAAAAAATAGCTAAAAAATTGAGAAACAATCCAAATGACTACGTAATGCAGACAAAAAAACTAAATTTTCCTTGCTGATTTTTTTTTCAGTTACAGGATTTTAAAATTTCCTTGCTATTTTTTTGCGGTTAAAATAATTTAAAATTTTCTTGCAATTTTTTTGCGGTTAAAAGAATTTGAAGTTTTTTGCGGATTTTTCAAAACTACTTGTCGCCATCAAAAAACTGCTAGTCATACAACTTGCATATTTGGAAATTGTAGGATCAGCATTTTTTTTTCTTCATTTAATTTGTTTTAAATGAACGGCAATTGATTCATTCAAATAACTGACTTTCGACTGTTTTTTTTGCGATTTTTCTCCCATTACTCCTTCGCCCATGAGAATAGCCTCCCTCTAGTGCGCAAATAAAGAAACTATTGCGTTTAAAGGATAGCTGGTGAACGCAAAAAAAACAGATCTCCCTGATGTAGAGTTATGTTATCAGGATCATGTCCGATGAGGTAAAAGAGGTACCCGCAATCAGTAAAAAGAGAAAACAATCGATTATATTATAACTTTAATCGTACTTTTAGCAAAAGTATAACTAATTTTAAGCGCAAATTTAAGATGTTTAAACGATTTAGAAACCATTTATAAACCATAATGATATTATTTGTGGTGACTTTTTAATAAATTATGATCATTTATACTTTTTTTCCAAAAATCTTTTATATTCTGTTATAATCTCTCTTTATGTATAAAAATCTATTATAATAGATTATAATCCCTTTTTCTATCAAAACTTTACCTCATAAAAAAATCATTTATTTTAATATGGTTTATAAATTAGCTAATCAGCATGAAAGCACAGTAAAAACCAAATAAAATTTAGGTTAAGCTATAAGTACAAAAATACAGTTTCTTTTAGTTCATCAGTTTCCCCTATTTATACATTTTTAGGAGACAGTTGGCTGTAGGTAGGAAGCACCTTCAGGTGACAGTTGTCTGTAGGTAGGATCCCTCCCACCTAAAAACCAGAACCCCCAGGACACGCTTACATTCTGGCACTCATAGGAACACACATAGGGACACGTACTCAGACACTGAAAGGTGCACACATAGGGTCACATATTCAGACACTCACAGGGGCACACATGGGGACACATATTCAGACACTCAGAGGTGCACACATGGGGACACATATTCAGACACTCACAGGGGCACACATAGGGACACATACTCAGACACTCAGAGGAGCACACATGGGGACACATTCAGACACTCACAGGGTTACACATTGGGGCACATATTTAGTCACTCAGAGGGGCACAAATAGAGACACAAATTCAGACACTCACAGGGGCACACATGGGGACACATATTCAGACACTCAGAGGTGCACACATGGGGACACATATTCAGACACTCACAGGGGCACACATAGGGACACATACTCAGACACTCAGAGGAGCACACATGGGGACACATTCAGACACTCACAGGGTTACACATTGGGGCACATATTTAGTCACTCAGAGGGGCACAAATAGAGACACAAATTCAGACACTCTTAGGGGCACGTATGGGGACACAAACTCAGACACTCATAAGGGCACATCTAGGGACACATATTGAGACAAAACCCATTAATATGTTTCTAATAAACGGACGCAACCAAAAACAAAAATAGAAAAACACCTGATGAAGAAGAAAAAAAGTTGAACTCAAACAGAGACTCTGCTCAAAGAGACGGTGAAATTATACTCCCGCAACCGGCCTAATCCACCAGTTATGGACGTCCTGAGCATGCTCTATAGCCGGCCTCACGACCCGCGCTACACCACGCTTAGGACACGCACTCATATTTTTGACGAGAGTAGCTCTATGGTGAGCAACTTTTTAAAACAATCGAAACTAAAAACATGCTTTTGCGAAAACATTTTTAAAAAATCAAAACTTAAACTGATCTCACTAACACGATGCAGATATAATTATGCAATGTAAAAAGTTTTAGAGCAAAAGAAACGAGCAGCAAAGAGATGAAAACTCGATGACATTCCGACTCCGCAATGACAAATCTATTGGTTTCTTGCCGTAGTCACAACACTTTAAAGTATGAACCTAACATCGCAGCAAAGATAACCATGGAAGAAGAACAATGGCCAACTCGACGTTGAACTCGCATACGAATCCTAGTCACTTGGTGCTTCACACAAAGAAGTCAAACCACATCTCGCTATTCGATGAATAGGTGGAATGCACGTAGTCTCGCTCTAACTTAACGAAATCAACACTTCATTTCATAAGTCTGAAACCTTAACCCAATCACTCAACCCGATCCAAATACATGAGAGACCCACTTCTGAAAAACGAGCAGCTGTACCCCTTCTCTCCATGAAGACAACTACTTCACAACGCGGGCAACTGCTTCTTTCTCCTCATTCACGCAGCCACTGCTTCAAAAGAATCTACTCCAAGAATCAAGAAATTTTTCGATCCATCCTTTACAACAAAAAATTTCTACCTGAAAATTTCTCTCAAACCCGGATGGGTGGAACCAGTTTAAAACTAGTATTTGTATCCAATTATATTGTTGATAAAACTATCTCTGTAAATTTTTTCTAACTAACCAATCATGATCCAAAACTAACACTTACAGTAATTTGCACAATAATTTGTAAACTATTCTTAGCTTCAGCAACAGAACAGAATAAATATAACTTTGCAAACAGTCGTTCTTCTCCAGAGCAGTTCCTGATATCTTATCTCGCAAATACCAGTAAACACTAGATCTACTGAGACTAGGAGATTTAAGCGTAAGGTTAAGCTCGGTATTAGAATAAGAAGTTGCACGAATCTATCCGGCCGAAAATAAGATAGCGCGACGAACAGACAGTGTACCTTATCTGAAATCACTCTATAAGTGAGTCACCCCGGATATAAACTCAGTGCGGGTAAGCGAACACCTCCCATCTCTCGGGGATCTGAACCCCAACGCCACCCAAATAAGGTCCCCTTTGGTACTATCATACATCCAGCTCCAGCTGACTGACCCTCAAAAAAGATCGCGGCGTATATACATACTTATTCTTAGGAGGCAGATTGCGCAGGAAAAAAATCAATTTTTTGGTCAAAACATTCTAAATAGTGCCCAAGATTGCAATTTTCAAAACAAAAGTCGCTTGCAGCGCAAAAAACTTTGGCAAAATAAGGTCTTCTAAGTAATTTGGCATGCTTCAAAATAGGTCAATGTATTCGAGTGTTTGTCAAAAATAACCCCATATTTTCAGTCCTCCTTTAAAAAATTGTAACCCCGCCCCTTCAGCTACCTTCAAAATTCCAGACAAATAAGTTTGTTTCAATATTTGCAATCGCAAAACCAAAACACTCTTTTGCTGCGTTTTCAAATGTACAGTTTCCTAAACCTCCGCTTTTTGTCAATACGTGCTGAGATCTCTATCTTCGTATCCATTTTCAGGAACACAAAATCAACGCTTCAAATAAAAACGTAAAATTAAACACAAAAGGCGTACTTTTTTGCACGGAAACCTGCTCAACGATTTCAATAACTCAGATGTCCAATTAACTGCAACCAGTCAATTCTGCCTCTCTCAAGATTTTTTTTTCAAGGCCACAAAAATTAGCGTTTGATTTAATTAGTAGCAAAAAGTTCGGACAAACGAAAATAATTAAAAAGAGCAAATGAGCTTTTTCAGACAATTTTTGCATGCAAAATCTACTATTTCAGACAAAAAGTATGTCTGAATGTCACCAAAATTGCATGCAAAAATTGCTCAAAACTGGCAGATTGCTCTTTTTAAGTATTTCCGTCTGTCCGAACTTTTTGCAATTCTCTATATCGGAAAGTGCAAGTTTGTCCAGAAAAACAATTAGAAGCCAAAAGCTGGAACATATAATTAGTAGCAAAAAGTTCGGACCGACATAATTAATTAATATGAGCAATCAGTGCTTTTTGACGCTTTTTTGCATGCAAAATCTGAAGCCGAGCAACCTTGATTTTTCTGTCGGGCCAAATTCAAAATGCGAGATCGTCGATTATCCGATGATTATGCTAGCCTAATTTTTAAATACTGCGATGAACATCCAGATTTTACTATAAAACAATTCGACGCACGCTTCGGATGCAATTGCCCGCCGTGGTTATTTCAGTTTTATATCGCGTTCATGTCTAGACAGTTGCTATTTTAAATTAATTTTGTCTGTCCGAACTTTTTGCAACTCTCTATACAGAAAATAATAAACTGCAACTTGCCATTTTTAAGCAGTTTTTGCATGCAAATTTGAGTTTTTCGGTGACTTTGAGTCATATTTTCTGTCTGAAAAAAAAAGCTGTCTGAAATAAAAAAAGCTGTCGATGATCTTGATCAGTGGCAAGCGCAGGAACTTTTCAACGGGTTTAAGTTTTTTTTAGTCTAAGTCAGCTTGTGCAAATAATTTGAATATCTTCAGACTATAATTGACAAAGTTTTCTGCGCCGCAGGTGACTTCAAGTTTAAAAAAAAAACGATTTTTCAGCACTATTGAAGGTATTGACCATTTTTTTGCTTCTGTTTACTGCGCTTCCATTTAGAAAATACTTTATATGGGCGACAAATGGAATGACTTTCGCTAAATATTACCAAAGGGTGAACCCATTTATCCCTTATCACACTTATCTGAAATTGTGTATTATTTTCTCAAAGATTACCTTTTACGGGACTAACTTTTACGGACAATCAGAATTGATACGGGAGCAAAGTATTTGACGAGATGTCAATTGCGGAGCAAATTTGGAGAGGCTGTGGTTAGCGAGTGAGTCAACTGAGAGATGAAAAAACAAATTGCCGGCGACCTGAATTCAGAGGTAAGGCACTTGTTATAATAGCTGATGATTCCGGAAAGAAACTCTACACTCAAATAGGAAGCTTTGGATTGCTGCTGCTGTGCGGTGATTGTATTGCAGACATCTCAAGACTCGGATGCGAAAGTGGAACAACAGGACAATTTCTCCGACAACCCGGGTTGGCAAAAAATGCCTCTCATACAATTTCATAACATAAAAAAATGATAACTATACAGTTTCATACAGTTTCATGGCTGAAGAAGTTGTGTGAAAAGAGCAACATAAGCATATAACTTTATTTGCCAAATTCTGGAATTAAAGAACTAAGTTTTTACATAATTTTGTCGGCATACGTTTATCTTAAAAATTCATATGTCTTATCACAAACATTTTATGAAAATAGCAATACTATGAAAATTTATGATAAGCATGTTTTAATTTTTTCATTAATAAAAAACAAATTATTTTGATTTGTAACTTTTGTGTTTCATACCAAACACAATAAACAAGGATTTTTTGCAATAAGCAGCCCAGAGTAAAACTGGCAGTTACCGCGCAGATAAAAAGCTTAAGTTGTCATAAGCCATGTAAGTTAAGGGTAACTTTTCGCATCCAGTTTCAATCGTCAGTAACCGATTATATTCTGATTTTAGTACCAGTCTTACTAAAGTTGAGAAATAATCGATTTCAATCAATTAATCATAATCGATTATAATCTCTTTTTTTAAGATCAAATTATAATTCATTATAGTCCATTGTAATCGATTATAATCGATTATTTATTCGTTCATTTTTCGATACAAATATAAACAATTATAATTGATTATAATCCATTATTTTTAGTCAAATTTCTAATTCAATATTTTATGCACAAAAATCCATTATAATTGATTATAATTGATTATAATCCCTTTTGTTTGTCCATTTTATTTTCGAAGTGGCATCTAAATTGCTTATATTTTAAGCTTTTGTAGTTCAAATTTGTAAGTTTTTTTTTCATTTCTTCTCCATTAGTGTTGTTTTGTGATGCATATTTTAAGCTTTTTTAAACACCAAAACATCAGGAAAATGATTTAATTTCATGATTGATTCGGAGAACTATTTTTCATCTACCGCGAGAAACTTTCCACTCATATGAAAGGATCTCTAAGAAACTTTTGTTTCGTGGTAAAACTTTGTATTCAGATGAACCAAAAGTGTTCAAGAGATCTCTCTTTTAGAGATTTTCTTATTGAAACAAAAAAAATAACCGCCCAGATATAATTCGAATATAGGAAAATTTCGGCAAAATAAGAAATTTTAATAGATTGTAATCGATTATAATTGATTTTAAGGGTTTTTAGTAAGAACTATAATCAATTATAATCAATTACAATCGATTATAAGAGATTGTAATCTCTTGGAAAATATCACGATTATAATCAATTATAAATTTTTTAAAGTATCACGATTATAATCAATTATAAATTTTTTAAAGACCTAATTTTGGTAATTATAATCGATTATAATTGTCAAAAAATCATCATTATAATCCGTTATAATCGATTATTTACGCCTAAACTTGAATGTGGGACCTCACATCTCAGATCAATTTCAAGAGAAACTGTTTTTCTCCATAAAGTATATGTTTTCAAATTTGAGAGCATCTATTGAAACAAACTACGAAATTGACTCGCATTTTATGCTCTCAAAACCAAGGTTTAGTTT